AAAATGATTGAAAGTTGCCACCATAAACAAAGTTCAAAGTTGCAGACTAGGAGAAAATGTTTGCAACATATGTAGCCAACAGAGGATTAATACCTGTAATATAGAGAGAGGCCCCAAATATCAAAAAACCAACAACTCAGTAGAAAAAAGGGTAAAGAACATGAATAGGTAAATCACAGAAGAAATGCAGGTGGCCAATGGCCCACTACCAACTAGAGGAAATACAATGAAAACAAGAAGAAGATACAATATTTGCCCATCTGATAGCAAAATTATAGGAGATTGATAATATCCAGTTTTGGAGGGGGAAGGAGAAATGAATACTCTTATACTATTGGTAGATGAGTAAATTGGTACAATCTCTGAGGAGAACAGATTAACAGTTTCTATAAAAATGTAAGTGCAAATAACCTATGACCCAGCAATTCCACTTCTAGAAATGTATTCTTAAGAAATACTCACACATGTGTCCATGAATATATGTTCAAAAATATTCACTGTAATGTTTTAAAAGCTTTTGGTCTCAGTGTAAATGTGCATTAACAGAAATGTACTACTACTACCTACTGCCTGTTTCTGTCAAGTCGATTCCAACTCATAGCAACCCTATAGGACAGAGTAGAACTGCCCCATAGGGCTTCCAAGGCTGTAAATCTTTACGAAGCAGACTGCCACATCTTTCTCCCACGGAGCAGCTGGCGGGTTCAAACTACTGACCTTTCATTTAGTATCTGAGTGCTTAACCACTGCACTACCAGGGCTCCTTAACAGGAATATAGTCAAGTAAATTATGATACACTCATAGTATGAAACATTGAGCACAATGGTTTAAAAGAATAGGTAGTTCCGTATGTACTAATATGGCAATATATACATTTTCCATCACCGGAAAAAGCAATGAGAACAATATGTATAGTATTATTCTACATATGTAAAAGTAAACAAATAAGACTCTATGTATCTGTACAATAACATACATGTGAGTTGAGTTCATAGAAAAAAATCTGGTAGCATATACCACAAAGTCTTAATAGCGGTTATCTCCAGCAAAAGGAATAGGATTCTTGGTGGAGATTAAAAGGATTTAAAAAGGAATTAAACTCTTTTCTGTATATAATCCAGTACTATTTGAATTATTTTTATGAAACATGATTCGTGCATTACTTGAGTGATTAGTAAATAAATGAAAAAGTAGAAAATAGTTGAGACAGACCAAGACTCATAGTTGAGGCATATTTTTCTCTTTTATGCGAGCTGTTAATTTATAGTTTAAGAAACCAAAAAGATTCCTCAATTAATAAATGCCTTGGGACCAGCGCTTCTTTGACTACGCTGGTCTGGTGGCCGAGGAGGCGGCTCTGTTCTCAGCCTGGTCACGTGGGAGATGAGAAGGTTCCACTCAGGCCCTATTTAGTGTGGGATAGGAGACGTGGGAGCTGCCTCTAGCCTCACCTGAAGCAAGGAGAAGAAAAGGAAAGAAGTGGTCTCTAAAGAGGACAAGGAAAGGAAATTTTGCCCCACTGATGTGCAGCAAGAGGGGAATTATGCCCCCAGAATACTTCCTAGTGCCGATACACCGCTTAACCTCAAAAAAGTTCCAGAGACATTAAGATGTGTTTGTTCCAATATTCTCCTCAATCAGGCACTTAGCTCCAGTATTTCTTGTTTAAGAAGACTTGTTTAAGAAAACTTTAGGTAAAATTATGTCCTTTCAAAACTCGATAAATCAAGGGGTGATTATTTGCCAATTTGTTTGCAAAAGAATTGACGTAGGGTTCCTTTTATTAAGAGTTTCTCTGATAAACCTAAGCGTTTGTTTGCTGGAAACAGAGATCTGAACGTAAATTGTTAGAAGTCACTCTGATCATTGAAAATCAATCAGTAATGAAGATGAATCATCTCTGAAAGCATAATCTGTCATTGGGCATATGAAATTGAATTTACCAAAAGAAATTGATTCTTACATAGATTCTGAAATAATACACTTTGCGGGAGCAAGACACAATGCATTTTGCTGGATAACCTGAACAGTAACGTTTTCACTTGATTAGGCTTTCCGTAAATTATCGAGGAATATTGAAAATGTTTACATCATTTCTCTGAGCATTTATGGTATGTTGGAGATACTCCAGAATTTAGACAAACATGTTTTCCTTCAGCATAAGTGGAGACCAAATTATCATCATCTTTTAGGCAACTACTCTACTAGACATGTTTGTTCTTATGTGGTCTTAACCAGGAGTTTTTTGGGTTTTTTTTTTTAGATGAAATTTTCTGAAAACTTTGCTTCTTTATTCCTCGCTTTTTAAAAAAACCAAGGGATTATGTTTCTAGAATGGGCAGAAATTCTAGAAAAGTATATATTGTCCTTATTAGCTGCCATCAAGTCAGCTCCTGACTCATGGCGACCACATACACAACAGAACCAAACACTGTGCCATCCCCACGATCAGTTGTGAATCGTAAGAGTTTTCCTTACCAATTCCAAATTGATGGTATCCATCTTCCTAATGGAGCCCTGGTGGCACAGTGGTTAAGAGCTTGCCTGCTAACCAAAAGGTCAGTGGTTCGAATCCACCAGCCACTCCTTGGAAACCCTATGGGGCAGTTCTACTCTGTCCTGTAGGGTCGTATGAGTCAGAATCGACTTGATGGCAGTGGGTTTGTTTTTTGTTTTGTTTATCTTCCTAATGACCCAAAATAACAGATTTTCAAAATGGATGTTATTTTTTTCTTTCTTACACAAGCATGCATATTTAACGTCAAAATTTTAGAAACTATAAATAGGCAAAAAGAAGAAAATGAACATTACCTGCAATTCCAACTCTTAGAAATCATTACTGTTGACATTTTGAAATGTATCCTTTCAGTCTTTTTAAAATGTATATAACGTTTTTCTTACAATAATGGTTTATTACAATATGTACTATTTTTGGTTACCTCTTTTTTTATTTAATAATGTATCAAGGTCATCTCTACATCATTTTTAACGATGGCATTGTGGTATCAGTCCCCTGGGTTATTTTCAGTTTTTCACCATCATAAATAGGGCAGTAATGAACATCTTTGTTGTTAATTCCTTTTTCACATCCATAAAAGTGATGTATCGTTGAATATATCAATACCTGGTCACATAGTTTAAGCCCCTCTCTTAACATTGAGCTAATTAACGATAAAGAATGATTTCTGCTGGGATTTGCTAGAACAAAGAAACCAGAACTCCTTTGCTTTTGTTTTCTAAATGACTGTGCCAGAGGGGATATGGGGTGAAAAAGAAAGCATCTGATGAACACATGTATAGAGAAATTTTTTTTTTTAATTTTAAACTTTCAGCTAAAAATTACCTTTTAGTATTCATTCCAGGTGTATTTGTGTTTAACAAATTTTGATAACCTGCCATTCTGATGAAAGTGACTGTACTGAAAGCACGTGTTATTGTTAACTAAGATGCATTTGCTCTAATCACGAAGCATCTCTTTATTGCTTTACGGTTACCTCAGTTTTTCTAAAAGAAAAGCATGCTCTTTGCTTGGCCAGATTGCCGCTTAGCATTCTTGATACTTACATTGCTTATGGACAGCATTTTTGATGGACGATTTCGGGGTGCAGGGAAGATCATCAGCTAAATAAAATTGCCCAAGTCTGGATTTAGAGCTGCATTCCATCTTGGCTCCAGACCACACTGAATTAAATCATAAGCTTCTGGCAAGCACGCCCTTTGGAAACGAAGAGAATCTCACATGACACGTGGCATGATATAAAAAGACACTGAACTACACAATGCAGAAAATACTTAAGGAAAACATCCAGCTGTGAATACCCGCTAAATCCCCTCCAAGCTAATTAGCTAGCAGGGGGGTACATGAAGGAATTGCTCAGCATACCTTCATTGTAAAGAGGCATGAAGTTAAATTCTGCCAAGAGAGCAACAGAAGAATGCCCAGCTGGGAGAAGTGCTAATAAAATGTAAAATAACCAAGGAGCTGGACAGGTATAGGGAAGAGGGGATGAAGCAACAGAAATACTCCAAGTGAGACTAATTGTCATGTTAATGCATTTATTTTATGCTGAAGATGGCTGGGTTCCTTGTTTAAATTTGTTATCAGTTAGATTAAGACAGGGTTTCTCAACCATGGCACTGTTGACATTTTGGGCCAGATAATTCTTTGTGGTTGGGGGTTGTCCTATGCATTGTAGAATGTCTTGCAGCAACCCTAGCCTCTATGCATTAGATACCAGTAGCACCACAGTTGTGACAACCAAAAATGTCACCAAATTGCCATTAAGAACCACTGGATTAAGAGATTATCCTGAAATACTGAAAAACTTCAGACTTGGGCCAAAAATCATAATAATGTCATGTGCCATTTCATTTATAGATAAGCGTGGGTGGAAGTAGTGCCAACCATCTTCAAGCTGTTCAGCTTGACTTGAAGTTCATCACAGACTTGCACTATCTGACACTGTGTGTTCTGTGTAAAAATATATCTCTGTGAGAATTCCACATTTCACTTGTACCAGTGAATATCATCTCCCTGCCTTTTATGTCACGGCTCCTGTAATAGCAATGAAAGTGTCCTTTCTGTTGAATGCATTAATTTAAAGACACTCTTAAGTCAATTTTGAAAAGCATACGGAAGGTAAGTGTTAAACAGATCTAAACATCTATCCCTAAGGGATCTTCTAAGGATGCTTTAGGAGATCTCAGGCTACAGCACAGCCCGCGTGCTAATACTTTCCACCTACCCGGCTCACTTTATGGAAACACTCCTAAAGAATTTCCACTCTTCTCTGTTCTAAGACTATTTTGACTTAACTTGCACTCACTCCCCCTTTGGCTGGTTTAGCTAACTTTATGACTACTTTTCATAAAGTTACTGAATTCCCTGCTTTTTAAACCTCTCTTGGGCTTCTGCTAAGTTACCATCTTCCCCTAAAGTCTCCCCATTGAAAGTTTGCATTTAATAACGGAAGTTGCCAACATCTTGACCTTCTTTCAGATATGTCAATGGATGATGTTCGAGAATACGAGAAAAACATGCATGAACAAACCAACATAAAAGTTTGCAATCAGCATTCCTCCACTGTGGATGACATAGAGAGCCAGGCCAAAACAAGTGTATGTAGAATTTTTGAAACATGTTGCCCACCCTTTCCCAAATGCAAATGTAAACTGATCTTTGAAATACGGCAAACGCTCCATTCCGAGCCTTCCACAAAAGCATGTTGTCTCCCAGAGATTGTTGGTGAAGAACCTGAGCTGGGTCTGAATTGGGCAATGTCACTTTTCCCTTCCAGACATTCCGATTCTTGAAAGCGACTTGAGTTGGAGGTTATTTCAGCCATAAAACCAAGAACATGGAGAGTGGAAACGTTCTGTGGTACTAATAAAAGAGCCCGCACCATAAAAGAGCAAAGGCATAAAAGTGGATGTCATATGTAAACTGGAACAACTTTTAAAAACATAGTTAACACTCAGTTATTCAAGGACGAGCGTCTGGCTCATCTGCTGTTTTAGGTTTCTTTACATTTGCTTTGAAATGCTTTCTGTGACTCGATATAGTTGTTTTTCACCCAGTCACTTCCTTTTCACTTAGGTTGATGTCAAGATTGGGCCACAGTCTTCACATACACACTAGCTAAACTGGGTGGTAAGCTGGGATTGTGCTGGGCTGCAGAGTAGATCTAGCCTGGGACTTAGATGAGCCTCAGAGAGGCTTCAGATTGCTTAGTCATACATTGGATATTGAGAGCTGACTGTATGGTGTATGCTAGCATTTTAAATATAGTTATCTCTCAATCATTCATGCTAATAAAGTGAAGAGGAGGTGCAGTTAGTAAAGAAAATAGTAATCACCGCGTCATTGATACTCGTCTTCAGCCAGGGCTGGGATATCTTCAGGTGCCGGCTTGAACCCTCATGTTCTTTAGCCCAGGTCCCAGAATATTACATCTTTGGTGTTTTAAAAAATAGTTAATGAAATTATGGAAAACTGAGAGGTGGCAGGAGTTGTTAAAGGATGCTTTAGAATCGTGAAGACCTTTTGGGTGCACTTTGGGAATGTTTAGTTCGGTTTTTAGCGCATGTCTTTAGAATGTGTGCTGTGCCCTGCCAGGCCCATGTGCTGCTCTTTGGATGCATGTGACTGCCCTTGAGGTTGAAATGGCCCTAACTCTTCCCCCCGTTTTGCATGCGGTGATTGGTTTTGCAGAAACAGAGGCATTCCTCTCTCTGCACAGATCTAGATGATCCTCCTTCCAACTGGACTTCCTCTCTCCCTGTTCTAAAGTTAGAAATGCTCGTTAAGGAAACTGTCCATGATTTTACATCACTTTCAATTACCTTTTTCTTTAGGAATGTTAGACACCAGTTTCCCCTCAGCCAGTCTCTGAGAGCTGCTCACTATAAATACAGCCAGAGGAAAGAGGGAAACACCATATGTGCAAAGGATACTAAGCACAGTGCTTTTCTGTTCCAAGTTCTTATTGCTTAAGGCTTTTTGTTTGGTTTTCTGTTTTACTATGATTATTACTATGATAAAGTCAGCTTACTATGTAGACACCTAGAGTGGTTCCCTCCATGGGAAAAACCATGTATTTTCTGGCTGCAACTCCCAGTTGTTCCCATGACTTCAGTGTAAGAGATGCCTCCCTCCTCAGAAGTTACACAAAGTGATTATTTTGAATGCTTAAGACACTTCCCTTCTTTCAAATCCCATGAAATTGGGGGTCATTTATTTTTCCACAGCCTTTCTCCTCTAGCATAATGAAGAACAGTTCAAATCAAGAGGCTGCTGCCCATCACAAATGAAAAGTGCCTTGGGTGTTAAATAAAATCGAAATCATCAACTTGAGCAGGGACAAATTACATTGAAATTATGCAAAATTAACATTCATGAACACAGCAATAAGGAAATAACAGTCTGCTTTTCAACTGAGCAGTTTAAAAGCCTTCAAGGAAGGGAACGGCTACGAGACTATACTTTGGGTAATTTCTGCCCCCTGCTGGATGAATGGAGTAGAGCAATATATTCAGCCACTTGTTTAAAACCAAACCCGTTGCTGTCGAGTTGATTCTGACTCATAGCGACCCTATAGGACAGAGTAGAACTGTCCCAGAGGGTTTCCAAGGAGCGCCTGGTGGATTTGAACTGCTGATTTTTTGGTTAGCAGCTGAACTCTTAGCAGTATGCCACCAGGGTTTCCACCACTTGTTTATAAAGTCTAAATTTTCAGTGATACCCGTTTACGATAACAGAAATATATATCCAGTTCACTGAAATTTTTCTGAAAGTATCAACTTTATTTTGAAGTAAATACCCTCTTTTAAACCTTTTAAATAGTTTTAGTATTAAAAAATATTGGTTAAGTTTACAGTTGTCGTTTTTCTTGATATATTCTGAATTTTATGTTATATCATCATAGCCATAATTTTTAATTTCCTTTGTAAAAAATGTTCCCAGGCAGAAAATTTTAATAATTTTTCCCAGGAAATCCATTTAAGGATTTTGTTTTATGAAATATCTTTCTGGTTTGCTAATTAATACATTATGAGACCTAAGGATTAATATTGTATTATGAATATTAATTCCATAATTAATATTTCTAAAGTGGCTGTATTGTTTCATGCTAGTTTATTCATGCAGTATTATCGAATGAACTTTCAACTACTAAGTACGTGGCAGAGAGCAAGACACAATGAAAAACGGGTCTCTGAGAAGCTAAAATACCAACCAAAACCCATTGTTGTCGAGTGGATTCCAACTCATAGCAACCCTACAGGACAGAGTAGAACTGCCCATAGGGTTTCCAAGGAGCGGCTGGTGGATTTGAACTGCTGACCATTTGGTTAGCAGCCGAGTTCATAACCACTGCACTGCCGGGGCTCCAGAAGCTAAAATAGTTGTAGAAAATTCATGGACAGCAGATTTCACCTCTTATTCAAGGATGAGCCCTTTAGGACTTCACTCAGTGCTTATTCTAATAAGCCCAGTTACCCAGTTTCCCTGGTCCCAGCAGACGAAAATGGCAAAGGATACCAGGGATAGCCAGATTAAGAGTGAATAATAGTAATAATAACGTTAATATTAATAATAGGAGAGTTCTTGAGAATGAGAGAAGAGACATCAAACTATAAAGAGCAAACAGCCCCTGAGAAGGAAGTCATCACTGTATTAGACAGCACAGTGATAGACATTCAGTATATTCTGACTAAAAGATAGTAAGTGTTTAATACATCATGTACATTAAAGAAAGTTTCACATTAATTTTTTTTCACTTTCTCCCTTAGTAAGAACATTTCAAGTATTTGGAAAATCTACATTATTTGTCGGTGCCTGCTGGATGAGGCATCGCTGTATTTATTTGTTGAATTCCAAATAATGCTTTTAAAAATAATAATAATTATCTTCTCTTTTCATTCTCTATTCTTTTTCTTTTAGGTTTCTTTAAGAACTGGTTTTATTTTCTTGGCTATAGGATAATTAATGGGATTTATTGTCATTGTTGTCTTCTTGTTTTTTTAAGCTGAATCAGTTAAAACAAAGCATGTCAGACAGGATGGCTACATAGTCAGGAAACCAGTAACCACAGCATCTTTGCTCCTGCTCAGAATGCAAAAAGTGTATTTATTGAATGAGAAGATAGCATGCTGAGAATTCTAATGATTTACCTGTTTACCCTACGAAGTATTCTTGTACTTTTGTCATCTAAGGTAGACAGTAATATGTCTCATTTCAGCACCATTGATTGCTTTACTAATTACCTTATCTTTGTGGAAGAGATGACCAGACCTAATACTAACTTCCATGTACCCACCATACCCATAAAAATAATACACCTTTACACACACACACACTCCCCTGGGCTGGTTCTGTACTCTCCTGTTAAGTCCTTGTTCAAATACTTAAAATATTCACTGAAAAGTGCTTTGAAAAGTCTTGGGTAGATATTCATAAAGGAATATTGTCTTCAGGGGTTTGCCTCAACAAAAAGAAAAAACCAGATTTAGCATTTAAACGATCGTTTGGGTTTATAATCTGGAGAGGTCCCTTTAAGATAGACTCCCTCTGTTTCCTTGAAAAAAGTCATAGTGATGAATCCATTGCCATCTCTTGTAAATAACTGTTCAGTTTTCTTTCTTTCTTTTCCCCTTTGAAGACATGACAATGGATGAAGTCCGAGAATTTGAACGAGCCACTCAGGAAGCCACCAACCAGAAAATTGGCGTTTTTCCACCTGCGATTTCTATCTCCAGCATCCCCTTGCTGCCTTCTTCTGTCCGCAGTGCCCCTTCCAGTGCTCCGTCCACACCTCTCTCCACAGATGCGCCTGAATTTCTGTCAGTCCCCAGAGATCGGCCCCGGAAGAAGTCCGCCCCAGAAACTCTCACGCTTCCAGACCCTGAGAAGAAAGCCACCCTGAATTTACCTGGCATGCACTCTTCAGATAAGCCATGTCGGCCCAAGTCAGAGTAACTTCTAATACGGATATTTCATGGGGTTTTATATTTTCATTTTGGGTTGTTTTGTTTTAAGAATTTCTGATATAGAGAAAGACTGCTTTGTCACTCAAACATGTTCCTTCGATCTCTGGGTGTGCATGTGGTTAAGTAATTTCACATATAACATGAATGCCTAAGTCCGTCACACAGCATCACAGTAGATGTAAGACTTGCCAAGGACAGACGGAATCTTCCATAGCAACAGCTGTAAGCCAGGCAGGAAGTCTTGCTGTTGGGCGTTTGGACTTCAAGGGTAAACAAATGAAAACTTCGCACCACTTTGTGACAAAGTTGTGGTAAAATAGTGGAAGTCAGTTTTCTCCCATCAAACCTGAAATCTCAAAAACACTCTCAGGCATAACATACCTAATTGTTAAATTTTGAACTACTGGTCACCAATACTTGAATACCAATAGTTACTGAGATTCCTATTTTGGTTAGTCTGACTCAGGATTTGGGGCCTAATTAACTCTTTAAACTTTTGAAAATTTTAATTCTCAACCTATAGAGGCTCCAAGTGCAATTAATGATAACTGATTTATACCTTTCACAGAATTTAATAAAAATTCCACCTGTTTCTATCTTTTAATAACTGTCCCCTCTGTCCTCTCATGGCCTCAGAAACTTTTTAAGAATTGCATGGATGAATGTGACCATAACTGACTTGAGTTTGGTACGACTTATTTTAGGAATCACAAGGCCCAGGTGAGGTAAACATCTCTTTTCTCTACAGGTACCAACAAACCTTGACTTGTCAGTTTCCATTGTCCGTTAATATTCTCAGAATTTGCAATTAATTGAGTAGAATTCATTGGCTACTTACCCATTCAAAGAAGTTCAAGTACAGAGGAAGCTAACTGGGCTTGAACACTGTCAGGAGGTCTGGTGCATAAACCCTAAAAGAGAACTGTCTCCCATCCACCTCGTTTTAGTAACATCCAAACTTCCCTGGAACAGATAGGCCATCACCGGACCTTAGAAAAGACTGTTATTCTCTTGCTTCTTACTTGAAATCCAAATATTGGGAATGTCACAGGAGTCAAGTAAATGCCGTCAAACAGGAGGGGAGAATGAGTAGAATCTCTGGCTCCTGTTTGCAGAGTAAAAAGGAGGCATGATAACAGATGCCACTGTATCTAGTTTTTTCCGGCAAGTAGTGGTAATGCGGGATTAGAGTCAAAGTTGACAGGAGGCAAGATCATTCACCAAAGTGGCAGAGAGAGAATTCTCCTTCAGTCTAAAGAGAAAAATCTGCCACCTTCACACCTCACTGCCTTTAAACGCAGAAGGAAGGGCAAGCAGAATCTCGGCATTTCCTTTTATCCTCCAGGAAAGGAAGAGAACAAGGTCATTGGGCAACTCAAGGCCTGTGCCCCAGCTAGCCTTCCTGACCGTAATGTCCAACCTCAGGAAAGGGACCTTCCCAAAACACAGATCCCAAAGGAAACAAAATAGGCCAAGGAGCTTCTCCTCTCAGCCAGTGGCGCCTGCCTGTTTCCCTCAGTGCCCAGCACTATGACCTGTAGCGTCGTTCAGGTTGATACACTCTACCAAGGTGCAGACGCTGGCCCCGTGAGCCCAGCACCAAAGTGTTCCAAGTCATAGGTCAGACTGTCAAGATCATTTCTTTATCTGTAGGTTGACATTTAGCTTTAAAAAAAAAGAGAATAAACCCAGAACTCAAGAGGAAACCAGTTACAGATAGCTTAGAGCAACAATTCATCTCTTCCTAAGAATGATAGCATCTAGTAAGACACCTTCTTTGCATGGTCTGGCAGCATGATTTTTGCCTGTGGGAAAACAGAATCTCTTATCAAACACCTTTGACTTCTAAATGGCTCCCTCTCCACACAGTAGTACTAAATGGGAGTATGTGGTTTAGACAGGTAGTTTTAGAAGGCAAAATTCTACTTTCAGAAGACACTTAGATAGTGTATGTATTTGCTTACCATTTGCCAGCTGAAGTCGGTGGGGGTGGGATCATTATTTTCACATAGAACCAATTTATTTTATGTAGTTTGTTAACACATCTGGCACCGAGGTTTTCCGTTAAAGCCATTACTATTTTCCCTTTTTTATAAAGTAGCTTCTGCTCTCAAGGTGCACAGTTCTGTGTGCTTTTAGAAAGCTAATCTGTGATTTCCTTTTGTGAGTTGAATTTCTTTTATAGCCAGTGTAATGCCACAGACATCAATTGCAAAGCTCTCCCCGTGATAGTGTGGTTCTTTGCCAACAAACGTGTGCTCCTAAAGTATGTTCCGTTTTTTGTCTACATGTGGTTTGTGTGCATTAACAGAAGGGGAAGGGGATGCAAATATTCCTTTATTTGCTTTGAATATTTAACCCAGTCATTATAAGGCATATAAAGGACGTTAATATTTTATATACCTTGATTTTCAAGTGTCATTTCACATTCTCCATACCTGAGTTTGTTATTGTGGGATACAAGCCTGCGATGAACATGCATATAAACATTAGTAATTCTCATAAGGGTGGAAATTAAGTGGCTGCATGATGGAAATTTAGAAGAAAAAAAAAGCAGAAACTTGAATTCACTAAGCATGTGTGGGGGGAAATAGAATCCTTAACTCAGTGCCTCTGTCTGCCATGTGGAAACCTTCAACTTTGTTCACCAAAATTGTATTATACCTGTATATATATATATAAATATAGTATAGTGAATCAGACACCATCCATTTTCAGTCTCTGATAGCTAAAGTAAAGTAAATAGTCTATAGAATAACATGTCTTCATCACATCTTCATCTCTGATGCCAGCGGAGACCATCAAATGACCGTAAATTTCATCACTTTGGGTGGATTTCAAATACAAAATGCCTCTGTGCTTCCCATTGGCTCTCAGTGGTTTGGCTGTGCTTTTCTGGGACGAGAAGACCTCGTTTCTACTACATAAGCTTTGTCAGAAATCAGCTCTGAGGACCATTTCGTTTTCCTTCTTTTGGGCTGTCATAAGACCAAGCAAAGGAAAAGCATGACAACAAAGGAGGCTGTGATGCTTTCCAGTTACCACAGTTATAACTGAGACAATAGCGGGTTCATTGGTGAACTGATTTATAAACTCTTCTGTTACAGTTGTGCATCTGTGTGGGGGGGGAATGGTTTTAATTTATTTGGAGCTATTTATTAGCCGTTGTTTTTGGCTGTGAAAATAAATCTCTAAATAGCACAGTTGTGGATGTATAATGCAGACACTTAACAAACAAAACAATACTCCCCCAAAAAAGTAATTATGTGGTTTTCTTTCAAGACATTGTAATAAACAGGACCTAAGAGAGTATATTCTGACACTTGAGATACCATTTCTCTGTGACCGTTTAGGGCTAATGTATTTATATGCATTTTTGAATTCTACTTTCGTTAGCATCTCCTCATGGCTCAGAGACAACAAGGAAATAAGTTACTGGCTAGCTAAGTCAATAGGAATTTGGTTTAGAGATGGGCCAGAGTATAATTTACTCTGCTTGTAATGTATAATAAGATAATCCAATAGAAAGGAATTGTCTCAATAGTTCTGATTCTTTCCTGGTCATTTGACTCAGTAGGCTAGGTGACAATCTGCCATCTGAGACATAGTTCTTGAAATTTAAAAAAAAAAAAATCTGCCCAGTGACTGCAATTTGGTCATAAACTAGTTAAAATTATTCATTCTTGCTGAAACTGAAGAGTTACACAATCGTACGGTGTTGGCATGCTGAGACAAAGCATAGCGGATTCTTCTGTGTCTACCTTCAAAACAACCTGTTTGCATTTAAAATATGGGTTTCAGCTTTTTTAGGAATTAGTGCAATAAGAGAATGTGAACATGTCGAGAACTTTTCAGATGCCATTGTTACTAAATGTAATTTTGTTGTGAACAAATGCTTTAGGAGAAGTCTCTCAATGTTTTTGCTTTAAATTGAAAGCATGTCTGTTCAATTGCAAGTCTCCATTTTTTATATAACACCAAGAAGACGTTGAGTTCATGTTATACCTATGCCAGTTTATGTAGCTTCAAGTGTAATTTTTAGTGTTTACATTTCAAACTGGGATCTTGATTGGTTAAATTAGTTAATATACCACTGGCACTGCTAAAGGACCAAGTTTTGGAATGCACAGTGTTACAGACTACAAAGCAAAGCAAACAAAAGTTGATCCTCACACATGCCATCCTTCTGTGTCATTTTATGGCTGTTCTGTGTTTTTTCCCAAGTATTTATTATTGTTAACTACTTACTTTTTCTTACATTCTATTGTAAATAAAGTACAAAGCAATCTTCTTTCCACGTGTAGCTTCCCCCCACCCCCCACCCCCAACCCCCCTGTGTCTGTGTCTCTCTCTCTCTCTCTCTCTCTCTCTCTGTCTCTCAGCTATTCTGCAAGACAATGTTGGCAACTGTGAACCAGTGGGTTGATAGGAAAGAAGCTATAGAGGAAAAAGGAACAAACCAGTGGCCTTGACTTAGACCCAGTTCAAAGAAACTTGTGTGCAAGGAAGCCTGGCCTGCTAATAATACCTTTGGGGCCAGGGCCCTTGGTAGGAGAAGCCTGGGTGCCAGATCTAATTATCTGTCTATAAAATACACATAGTAAATCTATAACCCAGTGGGACACACATACATTAATTCATCCATTCATCTAAATGAGCGTTTGGTTCCTCGTCATCAAACGTGAAGCTACACCTGAATGGTGACCAAGGAAAAGCACCCTGAGAGAATCTACAGGACCACCATCTCAGCGGGACACCAGATTCTCTCCACTGAGGAGCAGGGCAGACTTTAAGGTGAACTTAAAGTACTCTGATGTGGTTTCTCCATCTCAAGTAGCTGCTGCTGTTCACAAAAGGGCCCCTTGGGGATGGATAGGGTAAGGACAGAAATGCTTTATTGCCCTGGTCTCCTCAGAGATTAAGCAGCAAAATACTCCTCAATTCATGCTCTCCTCTCAATCCTGAAACTAACATCAATATCCACATCGTGTGCTCGAATCTCATTGGATCAGGCCACAGCTTCATGGAACAATACACCATGACTAGGCTTTCTACACTGAAAATGTTCCCAAAATGATGTAACATCAACCCAGTTAGCTAAAATATGCTTGCTTTTGTAGCTCCAACTTCACCATGACCACCCCCATCCTGCCTTTTACTTCTCTATGCAAAACACAAACTTCCCACGCCCGGGGTAGCTGGCCGACTTAGAGCCAGCAAACTTGGGCACAGCCAGTCTTGGTGTTTACTCCCAGGGCCAAACCACAGGAGCTGTTAAATATTTGGCTGCCTAGTGTTAAATGTATATGTTTGTAACACCCCCAATTTCCCAGTATAGCTTTTAATCAAGGCACTATCTCATTTGGGCATTGCTCTTAGACTTCTGAATACCTACATTTTCTTAAAATATCCTTGCTTCCTCCGTAACGTTTTCCTTGGGGGTTCTTACCTCCAACTACACCTTGGCCTTCAAGTTCAGGATGAGTCATTGTTCCTTCTCCATGCTCTGTCCTGAAATATCCCATATGAAAACGTTGCTCAGACCTGAAGCGTTGTGTGTGTGCGTGTTTAACTCAGTGTGGTTGATCCAGGCAAGCCCTATTTTCAAGTTTGTCATATTGACTTTCTCTGCTTACCTCTGCCATCCCATGCTCCCATAAATTCTGTCTTTTATGTATATATTTTTTTCTCCCTATTCTATAACATGCAGCCTAGTAGGATATCTTCAAAATCCAAAAATTTAACTAATTCCCTGCTTCTGGGAAAGTTAGAAACAGGGTGGTACTTTGTCCCAATGCTGATACTCTGTTGTCAGGAGTGAGTGCTGGTGCTAATATGCAGCCAAAGAAACTAGACATGCTCTCTCATCCTACCGAATCCCATGGTTCAGTGCAGCACCGTTCCTGGGCTGAATTATACACCTGAAGTTTAAGGGATAATTATGTTTAGCTGTAAGTACCAACCCTCTGCGCCAAATCACTTGGGATCAGTTCCCCTCCTTTATCTTATAGAAGGGAGATCTCACCTCCGACTCCAGGGTGTTTAAGGGCCGCCAGATCTAGACATCTGTGTGTTTTTTTTCAAAAGATCTTATTCCAAAATAACTTTCCTACCCCCAAGAGTCTCTACATGCAAGATGCTAGCAGTTTACTGCTCATTAGCAAACTCTGAGAATCATTTTGTTCTCTTGAGCACATGAGTGATTATATTCAGAGCATCCCAAAAAACGACTTACTGCTCTGTGTGTGCAGCACAGTTAAGAGTCAAGTTCAGTAGGTCATCGGTACTCACCGGGTATTTCACCTTTTCTCAGAACACAGCCTGGACATTTAGAAATATTTCTACAAGTTTGAGTTTTCCCACTATCATCTTAGACTTCTTCTATTTCTTTGCATTTTGTTAAAATCTGTGATACAGACCCAAGGTTGCAAACTTTGTTTTCACTATCACTGAGTACTTCAGGATTTGCTCCTTCTTCTGCGGGAGATAATTCCTAGACACATGCATATTCCACATAATGCTTCAAGGATTTTGAATTATTTTATAAACACCTTTACATTTGATACACAGCGTATCTATCATTTTTCATAGCTACATAATATTTCATTGGGTTAAAAAATCCATACTTTTATCCTTTCATATTTGGCATTTAGGTTATTTTCTAGATTTTGCTGTTACATAGACTGCTGTTAGCAACATCTTTGTAACATAGTTTGTGTCTTCTTAATTATTTATTTTGGATAAATTCCCAGAAATTGGATTACTGGGTCAAAGGATGTGAATATTTTTCCTTCTTAGGGTGTTTGTTGTCAGTGTTCCCTCCAAAGAAAAGTGTACCGATTTATAACACCACTGACAACATATGAGTGAGGACATGTCTTTCTAACAGGTAATCACATTTCACTGTTCTCAACACGTTAGGCAACTGTTGCTGTGTGCCATCGAGTCGATGCCAACTCATAGTGACCCTATAGGACAGAGTGGAACTTCTCCATAGGGTTTCCAAGGCTGCGAACTTTACAAAAGCAGACTCCCACATCTTTCTCCTGTGGAGCGGCTGGTGGGTGTGAACCACCGACCTTTCGGTTAGCAGCTGAGCACTTTAACCACTGCGCCACCAGAGCTCGTTTGTTAAACAATTGCTAACATCCAATTCCCGTATAAGTCCTTTGTTAATGTGTTAATAGGGCAGATATCCTTTTGGGGGGTGTTAATGGGGTGGAGGGAGAGCCCAGACACAAAGAAGCGCTCTGATTTATTTAGACGTGCGGTGCCTTCTCTGGCTTACCAACCTAAAAACATTGACTGGCTACTACAGAAAGAAGAAAAAAAAATAGCCTAATTTGAGCATAAGGAACTGCATTTAACTGAATAAACAAACATCAATTCTAAGTCATTTTGTTCTCAGGCTTTCAGTGAGGAACATTAAATGCACCTTTACTTGATGTTTTCCTGTAAACCACCAAAGAAGTGCCAACAAGTTATTTTTTTTTCTAACCAAGAATCAGAGTAAAAATTCTCGTTCATTGTTACTTCGAATCAGCGATTCCGATTCTAGCAGGACCCTGGTAAGGACAGCAGGGTCCTTCCTAAGTCTTTCGTTTAACTTCTTGGAAAGAACGTGATGATAGATTGCATGTCTGCTCCAAAAAGGAAGATGCGAATAGCTTGTGCAGCATACTCGCTTGAGCTATGCGACAGCCATTGCTGGGAAATAGAGAACTCTCCACAGAGACGGCTGTGGTCATTTCTCACACATAACAAAGAGGAGGTATAAAAATGACCCCCAAGACAGTTTAGAATTTGACTGCAGCCTTTATTTTTGCTGTTGGTGTTTGTTGGAACTTTTTGTTTTGAAATAATTATAGATTCACAGGAAGTTACAAAAAAGTGTACAAGGAGGTCCTGTGTACCCTTTACCCAGCTGGTCCCAACGGTAACAGCTAGCATAACTATAGTACAGTATCACAACTAGGAAGTGGACATTGGCACAACCCAAGGAGCTTCTTAGGCTTTCAGCAGTTCTACGTGTGTGTGTGTGTGTGTGTGTGTGTGTGTAGTTCTATGCAATTTTATCACCTGTGTAGCTCTGTGTAGGAGCCCTGGTGGCACAGTGGTTAAGAGCTTAGCTGCTAACCAAAAGGTCAGCCGTTCAAATCCACCAGCTGCTCCTTGGAAACCCTGTGGGGCAGTTCTACTCTGTCCTATAGGGTCGCTATGTGTCAAAATTGACTTGGCAGCAATGGGTTTGATTTGGTTTTGGTAGCTTTGTGTAATCACCACATTCAAGATACAGAACTGCTCCATCACTACAGGGCTCCCTCATACAACTCCTTCATAGCCACACTTACCTTGGCCCCCCCCCCCGAAAAAAACCCTTTACTTTTAAAAACAATAAAATATTTCAGTGAGGCAAACAGTCATCTCGTTTTTTTCTCTGCTATAACATATTCATCACAGGCTCATAAACATTTTAAAGTTTATGTCAGGGGAAAAATGTCTGCTAACGCTGATAAACATAGACGCTGTATTGTGAGCTGCGTTAGGAAACAGGTCAGCCTGTGTGCTGTTGGAACAAGTCACCTCATCTTTCTGAGCCTTCGTTTCTTCCAGTGTAACAACAACAGTAATGA